CTCCCTCTGTCTCTTTTCCCATCCCCCTTCTCTCTGGCTGTCTCCTCCCTCTCTATACCCTTCCCCCAGCTCTTTCCTGCTCCCTCCCTCCCTCCCTCCCTCCCTCCCTCCCTCCCTCCGTCTCATCAGGCTGTATGCAGCAAGGCACAAATTCATCGGGGGAGGGGGGGGGAAGAGAGACAGTGAAGGAGAGCGGGAGGAACAGAGGGGTGTTGAAACAGAGAGATGCTTTCGGACTGAAAGAGCGGAAAAACAAGAGCGGATGGGAGACTTAATAAGAGGGATAAAAGGAGGGAGAGCTGGTTAGAAAGCGACAGAGAGAAAGTGGGAGATACAGGGGAGAGGAGAGAGGGGTTTGGTTGATGGGAGAGCAGCGATGAGGAGGAGGAGGAAGAGTAGGAGGAGGGAGGGAGAAGCTCGCTCTCGCAACAGCGATGGGCGTTCCTCTGCCTGTTCTCCTGTGAGGTCAAAAGTTTACCGTGGTTTTAATTTCACCTTTCCGCAGCCAATCAGAACGCGTCTCCGGCTGCACGGGGAACTTTGACCCACTCGGAGACTCTGACTGTAAAGATGTGAAGCCCACCTCTGCTTCCACACCAACACTGTTGTTTATTTGATTTTTTTTAACCTTTTTTTTTTTTTCCAGCAAACCTCCCCTTCCTCCCCATATTTATTCGCCCTTGATCACAGAGGACAAACAAAACTAAACCTCAGGGGATAGAGAGGAGAGATGGAAAAATAGGAGGCTTTATTGTTTGTTTGTTTTTTTCTCTCCATTTCAGTACTTTTCCTCAGATAGCGCGGAGACGGCGAGGTCAACAGGATGAACAATGCATGCCACAGCAGCGGCACACAAGTCCACAGTCCATGTTCACAACATTCCATCAAAACAACAGAAATACTCACAGAGCAACTGCACAGACACACCCCGCATGCTGCCAGTGTGCTGTGGATGTATAAGCACCCTTACCTGTGTGTGTGTGTGTGTGTGTGTGTGTGTGTGTGTGTGTGTATGAAGGGGGAGGAGGCTGCAGTTAGATCATAGAATCAGAGAGGGGAGGGGCCGCTCTGCAAATAGAGCGAGCAGAGTCGGGAGGCATGGCTGGCGATGCTAAGTAGGAAGAGCTTCAAGCCTTTCGTAAGGAGACTGTGTGTGTGTGTGTGTGTGTGTGTGTGTGTGTGTGTGTGTGTGTGTGTGTGTGTGTGTGTGCGCGCATGTGTGTGTGTTTCTATAACCTCTTTATCACTGCCTGTGTGTATGTGCGTGTTTGATTAATTAACATCCACGGTCATTGAAGAAGCTTCCCGTTGTTCTATTCTATTCTCCCCACATCAACTGCACAATTGCGCCCCCCCCTCCTCCTCGCCCTCCTCCTACATCCACCTGACTGTTATAATAAGGCGCACACCACACACTTATCAGAAACATCCTAATGCGAGCAGCTATGAACACCAGGAGTGTGTGCAAATGAAGCGTGGACTCTGAGACGTGACGTGTATCCACCGCTCCACCTGTGGCTGACCTTGCGCTATAAAACATTTCACTTAAGTGCCGATATTCTATATTTTTCTTATTGTCAACAAATGGTATTGAATTACAAAAACAGGAAATAAATCACCGCTATTATCAAGTAGCATCTGTGCAGAAACATCCTGATGTATCTCATTCCTCTATGCCTTACAGCGCCGTTGTTGTCCAAAAACTTTTGAAAAACACATCAACAAGCTAAAGTGAGTCACTGACTGACATGCTCCTTCATCATCAGCTTTTAGACTATTCATTATCAATCCCACACACATGGTGTCCTGCTGATGTAAACACTTAACAGAGCAACAAACCAGCTGATGAAAATAGTCCAAAAGTAATACACCTTTTACACCAGTTTGGATCATGTGTGCTCGATCCTCAGCACCCAGAGTTTAAAGAATATTTTTTCTTTACATAAATATAGCTTCACGCCTGTAACCAATTTTTCAGACTTAAGTCTATGTCTGCCGCTCTGCCCCCGAGCTGGCTCAAAGATATTTGTCTATATTATGTTATTTCTGAATAAAACTGGCTGCATACAAACACCACCTCAACCTGAATTCTTGCAGAAGTTTTTCAGGCAAAAAAAAAAGGGAGAAAAATCCAGACAAAGTCAAGGGTGAAAAAATGTGTCTGATTGTGTTCACATATACAGCAAAACATAAAATATTGAGGCTTTTTCTGCGTGTGATAGCTTCTTTCTTTTAAGGTTTATTTTGGGGCTTTTTATGCCTTTATTTTAAAACAGGACAGTGGATAGAGTCTGAAATTGGAGAGAGAGAGAGAGAGTGGGGAATGATATGCGGGAAAGGAGCAACAGGTCGTATTGAACCTGGGCCGTCCTCTTTGAGGACTGTAGCCTATGTACATGGGGCGGACACACTAACCACTAGGCCACACACGCCCCCATGTATGACAGCTTACTATGATATTGTCTTTTATTTGCAGAGAGAGAGAAAAAAAAAACCAGGAGAGAGATAATGCCTTTTTTTTTCATCATAAATTGACAATGTTGTTTTTGTGAATGTTATCAATGATGTATGTGGAAGACTTTTACCGAGATTTGAAATAATTAGCCAAATAATAGTGTGAAATGTTTGGTCCAACAGGAAAGGACACCTCCACAAAACATGTGTAATTAGAGGTTCAAATGTCCCTTAAACCTGCAGAAACAAAAGTCTCAGCAATACAAAAAGATGTGAGGACATACACAGTAAGGAGGTGGATAATGTCAATGCAATTTCTACAAATCAAGCAAGTCAAAAAACTAATTTAAAACAGAAACTCTGAAATCAGAATCACTTGATTTCTGCGGGAATATGTGGTAAATGCTTGTTGTTCTTCGTATTGCTACTTAGAAAGTCAGCAGAGATCCCTTCAAACAACAACAGCTAATTGTTCTTAAAATGAAAGACTTCAGGAATAGTATCCCAGAGAATAGCAACAGAGACACATTTCTCTTACAGCAGTGAGAGATCCCCCCCCCCCTCACTCTTTGAGAGGAAACTTCTGGGACTTTTAAGTATGAAAAAGAGCATTCTGAGTCGTTTTCTTGTACAGGTTCTTAATTTCACTCTGTGTGTCTGAAGGCTGTCCAACACAACTCAAACCTTTCAAACTATTTGAGGATGATGCAAACTTTGCCAAAAAGAACTTGGATAAAAATCCTGGTACTGCAAGCCAACCAACAAGTAGAGAAACCACTCTTTTTCGCAGATTAATCTTTTCACAAGCACCAGCATTTAAAAACAGCTCCAGTGTCTCAAGCCAACAGATCACCTTACGTTTGTCCTCCATCTTTCTCTCGACGCTTTCTTCTCTCTTTCCTAATCCCCCCCCCCCCCCTTGTCAAATTCAGCAATTTTTGGAACAGTTCTAAGGTGGCTGTTTTGGCCTTCTCAGGTTGGATGGATGTTGGTAGTAAATATATAAGGAGACTTCGGAAGGACTAGATTCCAGACTAGCTCAGGCCGAGTTAGTAAGCTTCAGGTAGAGTGTTTATTTAACCCTGTGGAGTTAAAATCATGATTTTTCGAAAGTTTGGGATTTTCTATATTTTAAGTTCTTTGTCTCTTTCGAGGAAACACAGACTTTACATCCATGAAAAGTCCAACATTTTCAATAATATGGAAATTTAACGATCTGGAGCAGATACTCCAACCGGAGCAAGCTGCTTCAGTAAAACATTCTGCAACACTTTGTTTGGGGGAGAGAGGGCTCAGTGTTACCCCCCCCCCTCCCCCTGGTGTAAGGTTACACAGTAAATAGAATGTTTGAAAAACACTTGAAACTTAACAATGTCAACTGCATCGCCCATTCTTGGGCTGCGTGGAATCCCCCAACCCCCTGAGCCAAGAAAACCCCAAAAACCCTTCTCTCCTCTCTGGCTCCTTTCTTTCTTCTTTCCATTTTAACTTCTTTACATCTTTCCTTCTTTCTGTGCAGGAGAAGCATAAGGGAAACACTGAAGCTGAGGAGAGTTGGTGGAAAAAAAATCTGCCTCCTCGAGTCCCTACCCATTAACCCGTCCCGTGGTTTGTTTTGTTGACAAACAGAGAACTCAAAAAAACAAAACACACACTGTGCAGTGTTTGTCATAGATCAGTAATCACACTGCAACAAGTTGTCCAACCACTCCCCCTCCACCCTTCCAGCTATATTTCAGCTCACTTTTGTGCAGCTGAAACGTGTGAGGACAAAGGTTAAATGCTGAGCAGAAACAAGTTAGTTCCAACCAGTCAGGAGTCTGAATATATGCGAGTGTTTCTGTGTAACATGCTGTCAAAAGGACTAAGTGCCAGAACATGCAGCATGCAGCAAAGCAAATAATAAAGTCTGCGATGTCAAACAAGGACTGGTTGGCATGTTGACTTTATAACCAGACTTCTAGTTCATCAGTTTAACCCTCTTACATGTTAAAGTATTTTACATATGATACTGTGTAAGGAAGCTATGTTGAAACTCATCTCTGAATAGTATAAAGACGTTTTTCAACCCTGAAACAGTAACCATCTGCAAAACCAAACAGAATATCTTGAGTTGAGAGAGTGTGTGCGACACAGACAATTTCCTTCTGTGAGGTGCATTTGTATAAATCTAAAAGTAACTAAGCAGGGCTAAAAGAAGTACAGTCACACAAGAAGTATTAGCTTTATTGAATAAAAGTATGAATCATTGTGTAGAAATGCATCTGATAAAGAATAGATTTGCTGGTTATTTATCACTTGGAAACTTACAGCTAAAAGAAACCCTGAGTGTCTGAAAGTTTGTTTCAGAAATTGTAACAAAAATTGTTTAGCGTTGTTTAGCAGAAATAATGAGCCATTTGCTGTCTTAGAATGACAACTGATTTAAATCTTTCTGCTTGAAACTAAAAAAAAAAATAATAATCAAAAAGGAAATCTCACACTGCGTTTATAAAAAATGCCTTTTTACACGCCACAAGTTTGCAATGAGGAAGTGCATAACTTACTTTTCCTTCAAGATAATTTCCCAGAACTATAATCCTGTCTGCCACTGTTCAGGGGCTTGGGAACTGGAGACTCATGAATCTTTTACTTAAATCCTTCCTGGATCATATTTCATCTTGTGCCCATTTTTATCCCCTCACTATTTTGGGCTCTCAACGCCCACTGAGCACCTGAGCACACCTGGCCTGTCTCTGTGAACACAGACTTCCAGACGTTACACACCAGTTGAAACACACACACACACACACACACACACTATACAACACTGTACACAACACTTGTTCCTGATGCTGAACACCACTGACCAGAGCTAAAGGTCGGACTCCAGGTGTTCTCCAGGTAAATTATTAATGACTTGCTCTCTTGAACCTCTACCTCCCCTCTTTCCCTCCGTCCGTCTCCACTCCTTTTAGTCTCACTTTGATTATTGTATTTTTCACTCTGCCCCTCCATCTTCTCATTCTCCCGTCCCTCCACTCTCTCCGTATTCCCCCCCTCCTCCTCCTCCTCTCAGTGTAAGTCTGGTGTGGAGATGGTGTTATTTTTAGCGATGTGAGATATGGAGGGAGAAGGTGCTGGGCTAACACGTACTCTCCACAAGGCCTTTACTGGAGGCCTGTCATGGACGTGTGACAGAAACACTTGTCAGTAAATAATATATCTCCACTATGGGTGTATTTACTGTTGTAACAACTTAACAGAACTAAGCTGCTTGTGTTACTGTGGAATATAATGGACCTCCACCTAAACTACAGCTGATTTTCTTCAAACTTAAACAAAGGGCAGACGGTCACTAAAATCGATCAAACAAGACGTTCATTCACATAAGTAATGTTCAAAACATTATTAAACGCACTTGCTATTTGTTCAGTATGTGGTTGTTGAGGTTGTTGAGTCCCTGAAGTTTTGTTCGTTAGCATCGACACTTGACCTCATAACAACATGGTGATCAGCTAACACTTCCAGATGATGCGATTGTGTGAACGTGACCGTTAACTAAGTAAGGCCATCAACCAGATGAAAGATTTGGCCTTGAAGGGTTGCTGATTGGAAAGTGATAATAATTTGATCTAAGGGGTGACAGAGGGGGTGTGGAGGAGCTCAGATCCAACATTTGATTTAAAAAAAATTTTTTTTTAAATTGATGTTTTGTCATATAAACACAAAAAAAAGCCTGAAAGTTGTCCTGAAAAGTTTTAGAGAATTTTAGGAAGGCTGCGTCTGAAATCCTCCTGATCAGGTTCTTCACATGCACCTCACAGCGGGAGACTAGGGGGGGTGGGGGGGTTCTCCTGAGGCACGACTTGCCTTAAAAACAATTACATGAAAGATCCGGACGTAGCAAAAGAGTCCGCTATAACGTGAATATTTGCCTTTATATCAATGCTACGTGTAGTTTGAAAGAATCCCAATGTCAACAAAAGAGCAGAGAACGACATTCTGGCGAACAGAAAAACATAATGCAGCAGGTTAACTACACAGAGAGTTCAAGGGTCATGTGCTGTGCATACAGTCTATGGTTGTGCACCGATACCAAGCAATAAACGTCACCACCCTCCTCCTCCTCCTCCTCCTCCTCCTCCTCCTGCTCGCTGGAAGTGAATTCTCCTGCTGCATTCTCACATCAGCTCACTCGGACGTCATACAGAAAACATAACTATGGGTGGGGGGGCTGACAGGAGAAGCTCTGGATAAAGTCAGAGTGTGGCTGTTTGCATTCGCACACGCAGCTCACTATTGTGCGAGTGTGAACAAGGCTATGGATAAACAAAACCCCCCCCAAAAAAAGTTATTAACATACGCATCCGGAGCTGCTACCCCCCCTGAGAATTTGGAAATGAAATTAATTCTGACATGTTGACTTGACTCAAGCTGCACGAGAGGTTGTGAAGATTTAGAGTTGTGGACTATTTGCATATTCATTGATGTGCGCTCAAACTCAATGGAGAGTTACATTGAAGCCATTCTAAAAGCATTACGAGTTGTTGGTTTTTTTTTCCATCCGTATGCTAAATATTTTATTTAATGGAAAAAAAGATGAGACTCTAAGGGTTTGACAAATTCCATCAGAGATACTATCTATAATTATATGTTATGGGCTCTGTCTATAGATGTTAGAACAGATAGGGATCGTTCAAACCAATTCAATGTAATGTAAAGGACAGTGTAGTAATAGTTCAGAGTAATGGCTGCGTAACATGACACTCTGGCTTATTTACTGTACCTGAATGTATGTTATATTATGGCTTGAAGCTGTCAGGGTGTAAAATAAGTTGTTCTTCTTTCCCTTCAGTCGTCTTGCTACTGCAAAGTCATCAGTTCAAACGGCTGCCTACACACATAGTTGACCAGGCAGTGGACGAAGTCACATAAAAGAAAAGGCAAGATTTAAAGCAGCAAACTAAAGCTGAATCATCCAACAGTCCCGTCAGTCAGTGGTCCATTAGTTGGACTTGATAAGCTCAATAAACATCACCAGCAGCCTTCGAAAACCTGCAGGCAAGCAGAGGCACTTCACCTGACGGTTACCTGAGTGGGCAGCTGAGTCCAACAGGAGATGATATTTCATCCTGGGCATCAGGTCTAAGTGATGTGGAACTGAGACACAGGGAAATGCACGTATACAGTGCACAGCGAGAAGCAGAGGGAGAAGAGAAACCTTAACAGAAGCAGGAGTCTTCTTCTTCAAGGAAAGTCTGATATGCTGGACAACATCTAAAAATACATAAACAGCAGCTATAAAAAGCCCAGAGAGGAGAAACACAAGAAGAAGAGGAATCTTTGTCTCACAGTGCATCAAATCAATATTTAAATTCTGGCCCCTTTTCCTCTAAAGAGAGCATGCGGATGTCACTGCTTGTTTACTACAACTCGGATCTCACAGGACTAACAGGCTTGTTGTGAGGGGAGGGAGGGAGGAAGTAAAAGAAGAGGAGAGAGGAGGGAGTGAGGGAGGAAGAGCTGATTCAACCAAAGATGCTCCCTCCCCTCCGCCCGAGCTGAAGCCGATGCACGGAGGAATTTCTCTTCCCCCCCCCCCCCCCCGACTTTCCTGCTTGGCAGAAACAGATGGGTGAAGGTAGTAACACTGTTCAGCCCTCGTTCACAGCACAATGTGAAATTCAGCAGTTTGACTAAAGCCTGAGCCCGCGTCTTCTCTACATGTCATGTGCATGCTCTCAAAATCTCCTGAGTCACAATGTTTTATGGAGCAGGCCACTTAATGCAGTGAAAGAGATATTAACATGAGAGCAAAAAAAAAAAAATCAGAAAAAAAAAGAAACAATCAGCACACAGAGCTCTGAGGAGTAATCCGAACTGCCCTGCAATCATGAAAGAAAGAAAATACTCTACAGTAGTGATTTTCATTTGAATACAAAAGAGGTTAGGAAATATAAACTAGTGCTGAACATGTTTTGTATTTAATAATATGAATTTTCTCACAAAAGCAACGACAGTCATTCACTTGTTCAACATCTAATATACTTTGCAGGTCACTGATAACAGATTATAAGGTGGTAAATAAGATAATTTATTGTCTTTTTATGTTCTGCCATAACCAGAGGGCATTTCAATATCACCTCAAATAAGTATCTGGTACATGTCGTGTTATGACTAGAGATGCAGCGAATTTTGATACCGATGTTTGAAATAACTGTTTAACTGATTCCGATGTTTGTTGCATCACTTCTTTTGGTGTAAGACTCCCACAGTGCCACCCTTTTCTCTTATGTTTGACAATGAAAACAAGTCAGAGGTGACTTCCTCCCAATAAAAACCTCTACTCTGAATCAGCAGTTAGGTGTTCTAGATTCTAGCAATACATTCATTCTGCACAACAAATAAACATCGGCTGCTGACATCAGCTCATCCCACGTCTGTCAGCAAGGCTGATATCGGCGATACTGATGTCGAACCGATGCATCCCTAGCTATGAATGACTTTATTTGATCATATCTGCAGTACAGTGTGGAAATTTAGTCCAGTGTTGCAGAAAAAATAATCTTTCGAGAATTCTTTTTCGTTATCTGTCAGTCATGCAAAATTTTATTAACACTGCTTAGAATTTTATTTTATTTTTTTGTCATACGCTGGAGTCACAATGTACATAATATAGGTAATATCTTGTGGGCACAATATTTTTTTTTTCTTTTTGGGACTTGAGGGGTTCAGTACTTAGATCACATAGATATCAAAAAGTCACTGAAGGAGAAATTGACAGCAGATGTTTTGATTTGGAACCTTTTTGACTGTTTCTATTGTCTTTTTTATGGAGTATTACTTTTTTCAACTGTTGATTGAATAATTTTTTTCTCTAAACCTTCTTTTTTTTATATTCTGCATTAATTTCCTTTTAATTTTTATTAATTTTACATTCTTAAATTATTTATTTGTGTAGCTTGGAGCCCAGAAAGACACGAGAACACCATGTTGATTTAATTGGTGTTAAAATAAAGTATAAATCAAATATGTATGCTGCTCGTTCTTATGCAAGGTGGGTGCTGTTGTTGAGAACAGGATGTTGCAACTGAGCCTGACAGGAGCTCCAGAGAAGCCAGCCTCTATGACATCACCACATCAACAGTGTGACCTCGGAAGGAAGGCGGAGGGGCAGCCAATCAGGCGGGCTCTCAGCTCTATACCAAGGTGACGGGGTGGGGGTAGCAGACCTTGGAGTGCTCTCCTGCTATCCTGAGATGAGTGATGCTGCTGCTAGTGACACTGGAGAGGAGCTGGTGGATAGAGATGCTGATGTGTGTGTGTGTGTGTGTGTGTGTGTGTGTATGGAGTACAGTGATATAGGAGGTGTGGCGGTGGGAGGGGGAAGGCTGAATTAAGTTAAGGAGGTGGTCACGTAACAGCCGGGTTCAGGCAGAGTTGAAGCCAGTTGCTCGCTGTGCTGCAGCTGGTAACATTTACCTCAACTCCTACCTCATAAATGTGTGTATTTGTGTGTGTGTGTGTGTGTGTGTGTGTGTGTGTGTGTGTGTGTGTGTGTGTGTGTGTGTGTGTGTGTGTGCGTGCGTGCGTGCGTGTGTGTGTGTGCGCACGCGCAAAGGCATTTAAAGGAGCTCTAAAACACATAAACTGGACTTGGATTTTTTTACAATGGAAAATGAGTTAAAAAAAACAGAACTCCCCTTCTTAAACACACACACACACCCCTCTGAGGACCCGTTTAATAAGCATCCATTACCTTAAAGCGAGAAGTAACATGAACCTCCTCATACTCTCCCTAAAATCCACCTCAGCACGCAGAGCTCACTAAAAAGTGAGTTTGTTCTTCTAACTTTCTTTTGAACAAAGACACACATACACAGACAT